TGCATTATAATCCCTGTTCACGATGATCGACTCAGTGCATGATTGGGCCAAAGTCAAAAGTCACGACCGTAGTTATTTCTTACGTAAAAAGGTAAAAGATATCTTTTTTGTATGCGAGGGGCCGTACGTAGAGGTCTCCTTGCCTCTTGTCACTGCTCTCAGTCAAGGGTAAAGGTAGTGTGGTATTGCAGTGCAACTGTCCTGTGGTCACGGAAAAGCGTAACAGAGCACCATTATGCAGACCCTTTAGGTACGGTAACTATTAAATGGTTTCGGTCATTGTAATAAACAGAGATTTTAGGGGGACTAGTTTCCCTGTTTGTTCCCCAAGTCTGTATACAGCCTTAACATTAATTAAAGGTTACATGGGAAATACCAAAAATTTCCACCCCAAACAAAATATAGGACCCCCCAATTGCAGTTGTTTCAAAATACTTTCAGTGCATCGATCACACTCTCGACACCCGAATCCCCTTGTACGAATATTTTTCTGTACTTAAAATAGAATGCAGCTCCTGGCGAAACAAATAATGTCGCGTTGATAAAGCATTCACAAGCGCACAGACCCCCGACATTCACAAGAATTTCTTTCATGTAGGTCTCTTCTCGGATCTAAGGGTTCGCGGCCCACCACACTTTTTCCCCTACCCATCAGTTTAACTTATGGAGCGACCATGCAAGGGAGGAAACGAAAGGGCACCGAAGCCTTTGCCGCCGAGTCGGCCCAGAGTCTCGAAGCTGTACGGAAGCGCTCACTTCGATTTCGCGGACAGCACTGAGGTGACACTCGTTATGTCTTCAGGAAACTCCAGCACGAAACGTAACTCTGCGTGGACAGATATCGCACCATTTAAACAACCAGTATGCCCGGTCAGGGTTGAGTGAGCTTTTTTTCAAAGTGCCAACATTAAAGACAGCATTTTATCTTTTTTTATTCGGGGTTAACGGATGAGCAATTTTGGATATTCATTTTGGGGGGGGATCTATTCTCCACCACCACCTCCATCCAAGATCGGATACTGCATGGAAACACTAAGATAATAGTCTCAGCTATGAAACATAAAAACCATTAAAAAACCCGCTGGTTCTGACTGACACAGATATAGATCCGCAATGACTCTTTTGATCCATTCTTTTAGGGAAAAACTACACTTTTTTCGGTCTAAATGAATCAGACAATAATTAAATGCAATTTTTGACTTACAGAGAAAGGGTTTCTTGAAAACGAATTTAAAGCCAATACGGATTCAGATGCTGGTCATCCTGACCCAGCAATTTTAGAGTGCAGCAGGTTGATGTGCGTTCAAGTCCGACCAAGCTGAGTACAGGAAGATATTCCATCTAGTTACTGAAGCATCGGAGCAAGTCAAACACAACATAATTATTTCATTAAATTTTCATAGTCCAAAACCAAATCCCATTAAAAGTTGCGGTGCCCTTCCTCCCTGTTAAAATTTGCACTGGGCGGAATGGAGAGGGCTTTATGAAACCAGGGCCAAATTTTGGAAGGCTGAAAAATACGAAATTACCGTGTAGTAAGTTAACCTGCTAAAAATCAGCTGTGAACTAAAAGATAAACAGAATGTATAACTTTTTGGTTGGTAACCTGCTTTTGCTAAGCAGAATTCTTTTACCAAGCAAGTTTCCTTCCTTTGAGACTGGCTCCAGCAGTTAACCCCGGCTCGATTTTGTATCTTCCTGTATATGCTCATTCTTCCAAAGTTGGAGTGAAAAAGTCCTCCGCACTGCACCCTTTTGCACGGTAGAAGACATTACAGCAAATCAGGGATGCACCTTGGTTCTGAAACTGAATTCGAAATTAGAATGATTCAAAAAAGTTCCTGAAATGGGGGAGTTTTCATTGCTTTCAAGCTGTTATATCGTGGACGGAGTGATGCATACGACCTCTTATTACATCAGGCTTTGAACTGGGGAAAAGGCGCACACCATTTACCCATTACCAACAACTTCCTGTCCTGCCAAGCGAAATAAGAGAGGGCGTTCATCCCTGTACTCTCCGGTTGGTAAGTGTAACTGTAGGGTAAATCATAACACTGTCCATAAACATGAGGACAAATTTGGTTGGCAAGTACGCAGTGCAACGCTCGCGTAACAAAAACTACGAGGAAGCACAATTTCAACCACACCTACAAAATAAAAGTGCAAAACGTAACTTCAAGCGATTAAATGTTCGTATTTAGGTAAAGAAATTTGGGGAAAGATGATCACATCAACATAAATATTAAGGAAAGTTCTGGCTTTAAATTATGGGGAAAGAAGGGTTACTCGAGCCCCCGGTTACAAGTCCTGGCAACGCCAGTACTTGATCCAGAAGGGAAGAGGTCAGAGCCAAAAAATCAGCACCATTCAGTGGTAACGCTGCAGTTTTTTGATATAACGGTGGATTGGGTTAAAAATTTAGTTCTTTGTGATTGTCTAATCTCTTGGCTTCGGGAAGAATTATCCTAGTATAAATAGCTTCGAAAATTGTCATCATTACTCGTTTCAATTCGCCATGTTATCTAAGCACGGAATTCTTCAAAATTGCATGGTCTTTTGCATTGGAATCTTACAATGCCAGTGTTATGCCTTGATGCTCATGCTGGAACAGTGTAGTTTAAGCAGACTAACCTAAAGAGTCAATAAGTTCCAAGTAAAGCGGGCCAACTGACAATCGATATGAAGCGACTGTTGCCATTCATAATTATCTTTTTTTCAGGGCACCGACAAAGAAATCTCAGTAAGACAGAAGACTTCCGAGTTTAAAACGGAGGGATTATCTTTGACTCGCTGAATGTGAATCCAATTATCAAACAAAAAGGGAAGTTACAGTTTACTACCAGTAGCTTATGTCTCTTTTCTTTGCTCATTCTCATATACTAGGAAGAGTGTGCATTGAAAAGGTGAGCCCACTTAAATCTTTTCAAATGCGTTTACGTGGTGTGGATTTTCTTATGAGCAATACGGCCGTTCCACAATAGTGGGCCACCAAGAATTTGCAACACGTTGGCCAATCACAATGCGTGAAATTTGTCGACCCAATGCGCGTTTGAAAAGGGTCGACAAATTTCGCGCGTTGTGATTTGCCAACGCGTTGCAAACTCTTGGTGGCGCACTATTGTGAATCGCCGGTATTAAATTCAGACTTATTTAACTTTGGTACGGTAACTTTGCGCAGACCGACAAGTAAGTTGCAACACCCTGTTCGGCCTTGTACGATACTTCTTATTCATTGAATGATCATGTGGGTTGATCAAAAGCCCCTGGACCCCCACGATTCCCTCGACCCACGACCCCTCACGTATGTTTCAGAGAGAAATTAGTAACTGCGCATGCCCCATTTTTAGGGTCATTTGGATGCGTAATGAGGGCCATGGGAATTTGTACCAGGCAAACAGCTGCTTCATTTCATGAAATTTACGTCTTATTTTTACATATTTTTCAGGCAAGGTAAGGCCTTTTCCCAACGTGTTTTGTGAAAATAAAATTTAGAAATAGTACCAGAGTGGTAAAAAATGGTGAGTTTTGTGAAAAGCTCTTTTCGTAAACGGTAGTTTGTTTACGTTTTGAAACGATTTTTGAAGGCTCGAAACAAACAATTTGAAGTTTTCCTGAAATTTTCAAAAATGGGCTGTGGTGGAGAAAGTGAAAAGGTTTTAGATTTGCTGACGGTTTTGCGCCAATTTTTTTTTCTCTTCCTAACCGGACGTGTTTGCATATCGACCTTACTCGGCACCGATTCCGTTCATCCCACATAATCTTACCGCCTTGCGAGCGTAAGAATTACTTGGGAATGAAAGACGAACTCAAACTACATTAAGGTAACATGAAGTTTATTATTGAAACTGAAGTCTCTCTGTCATTATAAAATTGTCAGCAAAACGTTGAAATTCACGGTATATATCCCTGGTTTAACATGTTCTCTCCACACAAGAACCACATGAACATGTACACCGGCCCCGTCGAGAATTTCCACCTGTACATGTACTGTACGTGTACGCCGCGGTACGGTACGCGTTTAACAAGCCACAGTGTATATAGTGTGAACGGTACGTGGCTGGATCGTGTTTGTGCATGTAAAACACGTATAGATCGCGCTGCGCAGAAGCATCAAATATTGAACTCATGAAAGTTGAACCAAAAATCTAGCTGCGTAGAACTGATAGTTTTGTGAAGTTAAGATTCTGGCCTGTCATACCATACGCAGTGTCTCACTGTTTCGGACACGGCCACCATGTTTATGTGAGCCACGATCAGACCAGCCTGCAGCGCGTTCATCAGTATATTAACGATACATGAGTCGCGCGCGTATACTTGTGTATCCGTGACCAGAGCGCATGCAACGTTGATGTTTCTCAAACTGGGGAAACGGTGCGTAACAGTTCCTCAGTTGAGCTCTCTCTTTAATAAAACCACACATTCCATGAGTTCAGGCACCCGTTAATCTATGTTTTGAGGGATTTGAACGTAAGTCGAGGGGGTTGTGGGTCGAAGGGGTCGTGGGGGTTTCAGAACAACCCTACTCATAGGTATGTGACCTTGAAAGGACCGCTTTGCGTTCTTTGCCCCACAATATGTGACTCGCACGGCTTTCAGGGTGCTTTTATCACGAAAGCCTTACTACTAAAAAAATTCTCACGGTCGTTGGCACAGAGACACTTGTAAAGACTTCGTAGATTTCATTGCTTGACCATGGCTAGACCAAAGATAGCAATAATGCGATCGTCAGGGAAGAGTTTCTTGGATTTACCTCGCTCAAGGAGAAGGACGCTGAGACCATACTATACTGCAAATTGCAGGTCCGACCAAAGGAGCCTCCTTTGCTAGGAAAATTGCGCCCTTTCTTGGTCTCTAGGAGCTCATAGACTAATCCAGCGACCAGATTAGGCATTTTACTGATGAGGTCCTCACATGACCTAAGCTTATCAGTCAAAAATCAGTTGAATACTGTGGACTTTACCTATAACCAAAAAGACATTCGAAACATTTCACTTCGGTCTAAGCTTTTTATTGTACAACATAATAATGCCATTTTTACACGCACATAATGTGAAATCAATTCTGTTACAAAAGAGTAATTTCTTAATACAGTGCAAAAATTATACTTTACTTACAAGGTTATAAATAACTTCAGTGTCACTTAGAAAAAAATACACCGTTGGAGATTCATTAGCATTAGCGTGAATCTATACAGTACAGTATATAACCATATTAACGACGCATTCTTGATCGCTTATTTTATATGTCTTACTACACAAGATACAACATTTATCTTTAAATATTGCTTCTATAATATTCTAGATGGGTGGGGATTTTCCCCGGGGACAGACGCGTGCGAAGCGAACGTTTACGATATAAACTGGTTGCGCACTCATCGATTACTTGTGTAAGACATTAGAATCTTGATTTTGTAGACTGTGATAAATCAGCTGACAGGTATCCATCAATCAACAGTTTCGGTGGCGTTTCTGACCGTCTGTGATTGGCCGGCACGTTGGGTCACAGTGACACATTGACATCAGATGAACTTCCCGATCGTGGATAATTTTCACACGGGGGAAGGGAACTGGCTGAGGAAATGTTAAAATACAGTCGAGGAGTTGATATTGTTATCAACAGACAATTGACTTTACCGTTAGTCATTATCCCCCGTCAGCAACAAAAAAAATACTTGCGTCATCTGGAAATGTTATCTAATTAGACAAACACACATCATACACGCTCGACTTCAGCTTTCCATTACAACACGCTGTCGCAAATTTCACTGTCCATTATAATTGTGTCCCAAAGTGACTGCTCTGTCTACCCGGCTTCGCTAATGACATAACACAAGGCCTCAACAATTGAAGAATTATTGTCCCCGCAAAGCGAATTAAGAGGTTGAGAGAAAACACCACAGGGTGACCAGTAGTGGCTACAGCATCCTCGAGATTTTTTCCCCTCTCTGGATAATTCAGCATTAGAAGCTTTTAGCATCTGATTTTAACCTTGGTCAGCTGGAGTACATTTAGTGAATGAACCATCCGGAAAACAAACAGCACAGAAACCGCAGCTTCACCAGCACAAATAAGCTCGCGCTTCATTGGTGTACAGTTCATTACAAACTACCGGTATGCAACTGTTATGCGAAACATTTCGGCTTATTGAAACCTTTAAATACCTCCTAATATCTGTGACAACTCGCCCCATAATTGAACACGTAAACAGATTTCGCTGTGGCTAGCCCCATTACCAAAACTCCAACCTGTCAATACCAACCCGGGTGATTAAGGGCGTAGATTTGAGTCGACAAATTGGGGGATGATGCCGAAAACTTTTCCAAAACCCTCCAAATGTTGGGGCCGAACTTTTATTCAACATTGGGGTCGCTACTTATTATACATTCCGTTGCTTGGATATACACGTACAGTATATAGCCGAATATTAACCCTCTTTTTTAGCATTGTGAAATTTACATTCAATCTTGCCTTCTGCCCTTAGTCTATCATTTGTTCCATTTTCTTTCTCCTTTGTTTATCGGTACAAAATATGCAGGGGGTTGCACAGCTCATCTGCCGGATTATTGGTTGGGTCAGTAGCCTACCCATCCTACCTGCCCTCGTGATCTTCGCCCTTCTTTGGTTTGAATGCCATCATAGCTCTAAGTCATGGGCGTAAATCCCAGGGGATGGGGATATATCCCCATGATTTTGACCAGGAGGGATGAGCAATCATCCCCTACAGGTTTCTGGCATCAAATTTACGTCACTGCATTAAGTACATTTCTGTTGCAAATAACAAATCCCTCCTCGACTTCATGGTGCCTGTAAGTCTTTGGTCTCCCGAAGACCGTCACAGGGAATTTTCTAAAGGTTGTCAACCATACATATCTTTTTAGAATCACATAGGCCCCTACATGTATACCCCAAACATTGTTTCCGTTGGTAATAAACGCAGCGAATGAAAATTTCCATGATATGCTCAACAATGTTCAATCTGACTGATTACAAGAGAAAATACCGATACAGCAAAACCTCAAAAGAAGAAAACGTAATCCCCATTACGAGGTTTCCATTCTTGTTTATTTATTTCTTTTGGTTGTGTTTGTGTTTATTCTTTCTTCCTTTAGTACTCGTTCCTATTCCATCCAACCCGGTATTTCCATTAATTCCCTAGGCCGTCTTTTTCCTTCAGAACGCAAAACGTTTGCTTTAAAACAACACTGACCACAAAAACGAAAGTCGAGATACTGGCTCATCTTACCAAAGAAGCAATATGTTGTTTCAAAACTAATGAGGCTAAGGTGTTTTTTCCCTTCCCCCATTAAGAAAAGGTTCCACATGATAGCAGTTAATAAGATTATTCAGTTTCTACATACCGGCTTTTCCTCTGTAGCCTAACTCTGCTCTGTATTTGTGCTTCATTGCCTTTGGGTTCACTGTTTTTTGCTCTGGTAAGATCACGAATTTTAAGAAGGTTAAACAAAAACTAAAAAAAAAAATAAATCGGTTTAACGAATTGCCATTTCATATCAAATTCAAAGGTTTATCAGCTTCGTTATCTTAGCTCATTATCACTCTCAGAAATAACTATCAATTAATACTACAAGTATATACAACAGAACATATCAGCTTCCAACTCCAGCCCAACCGTGCAATTCTGCAATCACCTTCCCCGCCCATCATCACTGCACTGACCACTCCGAGTCGCCACTAACACAATAACCATCTCATCGCCTCAAGACCAGTCACCACGGATGCAACCTCCTCACACCGTAATCATCACACCACTGATGCTTGTTTGCCATCTTAATTGTCATTCATGACAAACCCCATCAACCTTGTGTGCCATTAGATTTTACGTAATTGCAGTCACCACGACTGTTTAATGTTCATCATTACGTTAACACAAAACAATCGCATCTATTGTACAAAGATTGTCATTGTTTTGGCCACTTTACCAACACTTTTTTTTTTTCACTCACAAAGGTTCAAGTTTTTCTTTCACACAACAATCTTCTTTTGTCTCTTGTCTCTCCTTTCTAGTCCCTAAACAAGAAGCACCATTCATTCCAAACCACGCTTAGCTTTGTGTACTTCTATTTGCGTATACAGCACACTACTCTTCAACAGTCAGCATTTTTAAATAAGTACTCTGGGGCTATGTTACAGATTTTACAGTACGGCCTGGATGAAGGGCCTATCACGTCGGATGTCTTTGCGGGGAAAGGCGAAGCCATTTGTAAGCCCTGTGCAAAATTTATGTGAATCTTAATTGCATACTGTTCAACAAAAAATAGTATCATACATGGAGTGATAGTAACAAGTACACATGCACACCATTGACGAGGGACACAGACATCAAGACAAGCCACGAAGATAATGTTGGTGGTATACCATAAGATGTCCATTACAGCGGGTTTAGTCATTCAAAATGCCTAAAATATAGGTTTGTAAGGAATACTAGGATGTACACACATCATATTCCTTCACTAATAAACAACTCTATTTCTGAAATGTCTGAGAAAATGCACTGCGCAAAACTTTTGTAGAAGTCCACGAATCTGAGGCGTAACTAGGCCCTTTCGGGGGGGGGGAGTTCCCATTGGGGTTCCCCCTGGCTATACCACTGCCAAGAATACCAGTCAGGTGTTTCGAACTGAAAATGACTACTCAGAATCTTTAATCACAGAATACCATGCTCAGTCGAATCGACAAAAAAATGCTGTTGATAAAAATTAATCCTGTCCCCGACATGCACGAAACAAGCATTAGTGTATTGACTGTCCCAACTGCACTCTGTACAAGATTCGAACCCTTTGTTGTATCGACTTACAACTTCATACAGTGGAAGTAATAAAAGAAATTCTGTCTCTGAACATCGAAGACCTGCTTCGCCCCAATATGAAGACTGTACCATACTGAAGTACTGCAGCCTCGGGTTATGCACGACACGTCCCCAAATGCTATGCTCTGTGATTATTGAAGCCACGAGAGACCAAGCGAGCAGAATTATAAACATCAGAGCGAACCCGATAGATCGGTGTTTCAAAGAGGAACCATACACTCTGCCTGTACATTATTTCTTTCTCTTTTTTAATCTTATAGAGGAAAGTGTCCTTTAAAAGCAGCCTCTTTGTGCATGTACTTGTGACAGGCTGTGGTAACAGATCCATCCGCAGATAATGTCACGATAACGTGCGAACTGGCTGTTTTCTGTGTATAAAGTTGTCAAATGATGAGTAGGCCTACATCAATCGGGTATACTCTTTTCCCTATGATCTACTTATGGTTAACGACATAAAAAAGAATCACTAATAAACATCAATGGAACGTGATTGTTATCAAATTCACCCGAATGGTCTTGAAAATGGTTCACATTGATATGTTGGCCTAACTTGATGATGCGGTCTTAAATGGTTCTTGCTCAGTTGGAAAATGTTTTGGCCTTGGTCCACGAAGAAAGAGTGCGATTTTTGGAGTAAAAAATGTACACCTTATTTCTAATCAGTTAATTATTATTTCATGTGAGAATTAAAGCCTAACAGTGAAATGACGTATTGCACAGATTCTTTCATACAATTTCTAAAGAAGTGATGCTGCGCAATCGAGTGTGGATTTATTTGTCTTAAATAAAACAAAATGATTTGGAAATCTTTTTTTAACAGACTCTATAGGAGTAAACGTTTCCTTAATAATTCATGAAGTACTTTCCACTTCTAAGAGAGCTGTGCTATGCATTCACCTCATTTCACGAAAAATCGTTGACGAAATTACAACTAATCCCTTTATCTTCATGGAGAGGAAGCAGGACTTTCACAGGATTTACTTCCTTAGGCCCTACTAAATTTTACAGAGATTTTCAGCAAATGAGGACATTTTAGGGGGCAAATGTTAACTGAAAAATTTGACATAGCTGGGAAACTGCATTTTAAAATTAGAAACAAACATTGCACTAGCGTGTTACTTCCTATCATAGAACATGAGGTTCAATTCATGCAAATGGTTAAGTGGCCTTGTGTATGTCGCTTTACCTCTAATCGCCTCTCTACACACAGGAGAATAAATTAGTACCTGTGATGGACAAAGATGGTCTTTGTGTCTGAGAGCCGTTTACGCCAGAAATCCAGCATTTGTGCTGTGTACTGCTCACGGACCTTATGCTTCTGGTAAGTTTATTAGCCCGTTGAGCTGGGGCAAATTAAGTAGAACCTTGAAAATGTGTGCTTGTTGATAATGCACATTATTATTTAAATGGCGTCCTTGAAGGGGTGAGCTAAACTTCTCCCCACCCACCATCCGCAGCCTCTCTACCCTAATGGAACCTCACTTGCTTTTAGCCCTATACTTCAACAATGTCACTGATCTAACAAAGCGTTACAATAAGAGTGCGTCTCTCATTATACCCAACTTCGGTTTGGTAAATATTATATGGATTTACTATCATAATACATGTACTTTATATATTGTGATCCACACATTATTAACTCTTTGAGGATTAACATGTCACACTTCACGGGAAGTACATTTTAGTGATATAGAGGGAAGGTGCTCGAAGTCTTGGCCAGAGGTCGCAGTATCAGGCCTCATCAACAGTCCACTCAGATCTCCCGGTGAAAGTGATGCCTGTCGTTCTCGCTTGCTGCTTCCAGAAATCTCCTGTAGGTCCATGTAGCGGATGCTGGCGCTGTTGCTGTCGTTGTGCTGCTCCAAGGAGGGCCTCCGATTGGAGATTATCTCCGTGCTCTTGCTGAGGTGGGACAGCCTGGACAGGTTACTGCCCGTCCTGGCCGTGTTGGGGGGATGAGGCACCACCAGAGGCTGGGTTACGGTCAGTGACAGGTTCTCGACCGAGTTGGACGGCCGGCTGTTGGTCAGGCTCAGAGCGCTGTCGAAGCTCTTGGTCTGTCTGTTGGTGTGACGGTTGGCGACATTGGCCGACAAGGGGCGTCTTCGGTGGTCACCGACATGCTGGACTCGCTTGTTGAAGACGCCGACTGCAGTTGATGGTCGTGGCTGGGCAGGCTCGTTTGGGGGAGCCATCTTCTCGCTTGACTTTAGGTCATCCACGATGCCGTCGATGCTCAGTTGGCGTTGCGAATCAGAAGAGCTACTCTCTTCAGAGCACCAGCGTCTGACGGTCGCCGTTTTTGTGGGAGTATCTGGGCTTGAGATGTTCTCTTTGTAGTGTTCTGGCGACGATCCGGCACTGAGACCTTGGAACCTTTGTGACAGCTCGCCGAGACTCATCTGATGGAACCGCCGCTTGTCGTTCTGCACGTGCCGAATGTCCGGCTGGCTTCCAGTGAATTTGGCACTAGGTTCCTTGACGCCGTCGGACTCGATGTGCGGGAGGGACGCGGTGGAGCCTAGGTTCGATGCAATGGGATTCGGCACCACCGTACCTCGCTTTGGTAGCATCCGCTCTGGGTTACTGACGTTCCCCTGGGTACGACCTGCAGCTTGATCGCTGTCGGAGAGGTTCACAGCCGATTTGCTGTGACTCCGAGACCGAGCCTGTAGCGCTTCTAAGTCCGGGGTCGAGCAACCACCCTCCCTTGCCCAGTCGATAGCGTTCATATTATGCACGTTGTCCCGCCGGGATAATGACGCTTTGGCCTCATGTGCTAGGAGCTGAGCACACTCTACATAGCCACTCTTCGCGGCCACCATGAGGGGTGTCATGCCATCCGCATTCACCGTGTCCACGTCCAGCCCTAGACGACGGAAGGACTTGGACAGTATCTCAATGCCGGCTGCGTTGCCCGTCTCGGCACAGTACATGAGGGGCGAGTTACCGTTCTTGTCCGGTAGGTTGGGGTCTACGTTGTTCTTAACCAGCTTTTTGATGACGTCACTCCGGTGCAGCTCGCAAGCATAGCTCAACGCCGAGCGGCCCACGTTGTCCACCAGGTTCACGTCAGCGTGGTACTTCACCAGCAGGTCCACCACCCGACCCCGGACCCCTTCGTCCTCGATGCGCACCGCCCGGATCAGCGGTGTCTTGCCGTGGGCGTCGCGGGAGTTCACCACGGTGTGGCTTTCCACGGCGTCCAGTATGAACTTGGCTAGGTGGATTTTGCCTTTGACCACAGCATCGTGAATTGCCACCCCGCCAGATACTTGCCCAAGGCTGGTACGGCGGCTGCGATCTCGTACAGAAGGAATATGAATCATGATAGAAGCACAGACGTCAAGGAATAGCCGAAAATTCGATATGTGAACTTCTAAATTACGGCTGCACGTGCCATGTGTTCACAACCGTTGCTCAAGTATCTCTGCGCTAGTAAACAAACTATTTCGCTACCATGTAATCTAAAGCCGTTGCACTGTTTTGTTGTCAGAGCCATAGTGGTGAAAATACATGAGCACTACATACTCGCTGGGTTTTTCTCATGCCCAGTTTACAATGCTTAACAGATACATGCCCTTGTTTGGTCTCATCATAGGCTTATGTTATGAAGGCCATTCTCAAACAAACTCAAACTACTCAAGAAACTTCTCGAATCCGAGGCAAATAACTCCTTGGCCAGGTGCTGCTTTTGCGGTCGGTTGCAGACACGTGGACCCGATGACCAGCAACAGCTGGTGGTTGACTCGCTACGCAACAACTACATGTATTTGCTTTACGGGGAGAGCTGGGCGAGAAAGCAAATCAACTTTACCATTGAACTTTGCTTCCATCGGGCTCAGTCGTCGGTTACCATGGCTAATGTAATAATGTGCTGGATGTATTCTGTAATTTGCGTCATGTTGTGGCCAAGCAATTCCCGTCCGGGTAGGTGAATTCATACAAACGCCTACTCTGGGGTGTCATTCAGCATAATCACGCACTATTGTGTCACATGATCGTCTACTCAAACATCAAGAGAAGGTCATTTTGGCAAATTACAATAGTTGGAAAACAGCAGTCCCGCATCTCAAAGATTGCATTTACACAATCATGCATGTTGCTCCGATCTATTCTGATGTAGTCCTATTCATGATTGAGAACGTCACTTCTGAATCAACTAATTACCAAGGATTTCCTGCACGCTGCCGGTCGAAGCTGAAAATCGTGAATAATTTTAACATTAACTTCAAGAAGTTATTGTCACCGATTCACGCTGGATTGACTCGCATAGCCATGAAGAAGTACTGATCGTGGTAAAGACACTCCTCCATATCCCCAAATAACTCAGAATATTTCGCCTCGTTGAGCTGTTCAATATTTCCAGTACATCTGCCAAGGTTGGGATCCGTAATGTTCATAGCTCATCGGTGTGCCGTTTCACACAGACCAGAAGATGAGTGACAACAAAATATCAGTGTTAGTCCGTCGTTCCGAAGCAAACGAGCATCGACACCCATGGATGACCAGCCCAATAAGAACAGCAATTTTTCCTACGCGGCCCAAGCATTGGCCTCGCCACGGGAAATATCTCGTCCAAATTAAATTTGTGTCTTCTAGGCGGGATGGAGAACGAGAACACGAGATGGATTTGGCCTAGTGCTGGCGACGGGCCGACGCGTACTAAGCACGTACGCCCGGAGCGCGGGTGGCCAACATTATGGTCTAATCCGCTCCGAAGCGACCGAGCATGCTTCGTACGGGTCCGTCGACGTAAGTGCCCTCCGGAGGCCATGGACTTAAATCACTTGATAGGGCTCGGCAACATGATGGGTGCGGGCAACAAGATTCGCACTTGCGCAAACAACCAGAGAGACTCGTCGGTTTGCATAAGCATACAGAAAGGGCTAATTAGTATTCCGCCCACTCGTCCTGTCAGTACTCAAGGGATCCGACGAATAGACTCAACTGCTTTCGTACGTGCTCGTTTCCACCCGGCAACACTTCCTTGTTTTCTCGCTGTTAGCTAGGTTCTGACCCCATAGCCTCGCTTACCAATGCAGGGCTCGTAACGACTACTGCCAGCCTTGGGGGAGTATCTGGAGGCTGGCAAACGTGGCAAATTGGCTCGGTCAGCGTCCTTCCCAACTCCATCTCGCCTTCGTAATCTCGTCAGTAACAAATCGGACGTGTAGAAATTTTCTTTTCCGGGCATTGGCTCTCGATCTGTATAGGTCTGGTTTGTCTCTGGAAAAAGAACAGCCCACAGCCTGCGCCGCTGCCTCTAATCAATAAGTCTATAGACAGTGAATCTTCGACCCATTGCTGATGAGCAGACAATTTCCACGCTGATAAATGCATACCTACACCTATGCAAATACAACAAATCCGCCGGGATTTAACCATCGATAGTGTTGCCTGGCAACCAAGCGAACCATAGTTCTTCTTACTTTTTTATAGATGCACTCAAATGGACAATCAGGGAACTTGTTTCATTCTTCCGACTTTTCGATAGCACGAGTCCAAACCCTTTTCAAATCTTGTACAAACTACTGTATTTGCATGATTAAAACAGTACACAGTACAACACCCAGTATTTACGGGCAGCGTGATAAATAAATGAAAGGGCCGTTTTTCTCGACTTCAGCTGTTTCATGGAAATGAATATCTTAAATTAAGATTCGTAATTTATGCTTCCACTCGAGCAAATTCACTCGAGTACTGAAACGGCCTCCTGCTTCAAAACAAGCAAGTGAAAATGATGCATAAGAAGTCCTCTCTTGGCTGAAGTTAAGTTAATTTTACCTGCTTCTAAGAGGTAGATCAATTGTTCCATCTGAAGACAGGTCTGGGAAAGAAAAATGAACAATGAGCAATCGAGGCTAATTGCTGGTTAACTCCTCCTATTCAGGGCTCTGTTCTCTCTCAGCGAAATCAGGTCAGTGTTATTAATCATTCTCAACCGACGACGCCTCTGATGTTGAGTGTTCTGGATATAACCGTTGTCATAACCCGAGTAATGTCACTGCGAGGGGCCTCTCATGGGAATTGAGCGCCTGTTCACGTTTTGAGGGTTTGAAATTAAACAGTTACTAAAATAATTGTCAAAAAGTGAACAAATGTAACCCACCCTGCCATTTATTTGCTCCCTTTTTTTATTACATTAGCAAGATAAATGTACACCTATTTTTTCTCAAGTCATCCTGACAAAACGCGCACTGCCATTTTCCCATAGCAAGACCGCCACGCAGATTTTGGTTGTTACGATTTGTGTGGATGTTGTGTTTTTGATGTTTTTAGGTTGTTGTTTGCGGTCATTTTGACAACAACACGGGATTTAAAGTTCTCACGAATTGCCCATTTTATCAAATCTTTGCAAAATGTTTTGACATTAGGGGTTGAAACTCATATATAGAAGACAAATGCAAATTCATGGTTTATTTACTAATAATCTGTTGCACAGCAGACATGTAGATCCACCTTCAGGATGTGAGCATTTTGTGAAGGGGTAGTAAAACAGATCGCGATCCCCAACCCACCCCAAGAAAAAGGGGTTAAACACACTACGAAGTTGGCGACATACTTAAACTGTAAAGTGAGATTTTCACTGCATTGTCATTTTCATCTACTTTTTCGGTCCCAGCACCAAGCGACGCCCGTCTATGAAAGTTGCCACGCTGGCATCAATTCAAGAACTGACGTATCTTGAACGCAAAGTCTCTACTTGGCGTCGTGGAGTTGTGTGAGGGTCTACCAAATTGTCCACACTGCAACGTTGCTCACTTGGCCTTTGTAGGTCAGGCCGTTGAATGAATTCGTGTTTGAACATCTGTACCGGAACTACTGTGTTGTTCATTATGCTAATTTGACACCTATAGTGCTCCAAGTCTTAGACAAGAGGAAGGCCGCGTCAATTGTTAGTTAAAAGAGAGAAGCGACTGGTCCAAGTCATTTACGAGGGCAAATGCTTCTCGTTTGGCGGCTTGTATTCACTGCTGGAAACACGTATACGCAAGTTTCAAAATGGCCGCCCGTATCAGATAGACAAACTTGGTTTTTGTTGATTTTTTCTCTGTAACTGCAAGATATTAGGTTTTTCATCTTACCCAGACCTTTAAAATATTCCGAAAACTAAAACCAAAAAAAAAACTAAATTCCATGGCGTTGTGAAACTCTAATGATCATCAAATAAAGCCAAGTTTTATCACTTCGCTGACGGCGCTGAGTATTCAAAATCTTGTTACTCCTGCCACAAGAATACGCCGATGCCAAAGCCACTGACAGAGGGCGCTGTTAATAGTTTTACTTTCCGAAGTCAGATGCGCGATAACAGTAAAACAAAAAACTCGAAAGTGGCTTTTCTTTATTTTCACGGAAAACTAACACGACATGTCCGTAGACAGTAGCGCCCTCAAGCTGCCTCCCCCTCCATCTTGAGGGTTTGCTCGTCTCCAGGGGGGAGTGCAAATGCTTTTCAGAAAATTCTGTAAATGCAATGCGTCACAGTTGAAGACCTGGGTTGCTTGCTGTCTCAATCCATGTATGCGTACGCAGTGTACACGTGTCACGCGAAAGCCAAAGTGTTAACCAGTTTTCGTTTATAACAGGCGTTGGCTTTTGGAGTGTGCTTGGCAAAAACTACGTAGTGCATCTTTAAACAGCAGCCCTCGTCTGGTTCCCTCACCTGAAACTTCCTGACTATTTTTGATAAATTCTTTGGTCAAATTCGCCAACGATTAAAAATGTCATGAGGTCAATGGAGGCCCCGTGTAGGTCGGAAGCTGTTTCATTTCATGTATTCAGTATTTCATTTTCTGGATGTACTTTGCATAATACAGAATGGCACGAGGTACACAAGAAACAATTGAACCCGACTGACCAGTACTGAACCCACCCCCGCTGGATTGCCCGAGAAAAACATTTTCAGACGCAGGTGTTGCTCAGTGAAGTGCGGCACGGTGTTTATCTTAAATGTGTGGATGCAGTGAACTTTTCTTCGACACAATTTTTCTGTACCTTTGGTCTCTCCTTCAATGTATGAAGTGCACTTTTTAGAACACTTTAAATTATTTTTGCTCTCGTGGAAAACCGAACGCGCTGTTGCTGTGATGGCATCTAGAGACGAGTTAAATGTATAGGTTTTTCTTTTCCCATTGTGGACCCAGAATTTACTTACTGTGAGCATTTATGAAAAGGGATTCGTGCTTGCTTATTGCTATGCACATAAACAACAATGAATCGGCAAAGAAAGAGTCCAGACAAATCTAGAAAAAATGCAGGACTTTTTGTGTACAAATCACTGTAACAATGAGCCTTTCTTCCTGTGATGACATCACTTTTTGATCATGAAAGTAGAAATACCCAATAGCAAAAAGACAGTAAAATACCCGTTGAAATAGGGAAACAACAGTTGAAAATAAGGTTACCTGAGACACAAAGGTGTATTTTCAACGTTTGTATTAAAACAAACTGATTGCAAAACAAAGCAACCAGAGCTTCAATGTAAGCGTTATCTCAAGAATTCCAAGATCCATCGCCGTTACACATTCATTGTAAATGAAAGCGTTTTTAAATGTGTCTTGCTTATACATCTGCTGTTCAGTATGTATACGCAAGGCCGAAAATACCAGAACTTCAACGATGATATCTGAATTCTGAAAACAACGAGTTCGGAATTCCTCCGTTTTTTGTCACGTGAAATTGAGTGATACGGGACCCTTGAATTGAAAGGGTCAGATTCATCGGGTATGGGAACCAGACTACAGTAACTCTCTCATTGTCCTGTAAGGTCCGTGGGACGAGCGAAACACGGACGTCATCATAAAAATCTGGACTTGCTGTGCTCTTGTACTGTGCCGAATGTAAGGGCGGTGGTCTACTGTGCACGAACGATTTAGTTAACAATGGTGAGCAAGCCTTTGTATTTCCTTTATACGTATTCGACTTGGCAAGACGGTCGCCGGTGCATTACGGGACCAGACTTCTTTATACGACGTCCGTGGAGCAGACTTAAAGATCAATAGCGCCAACAATGTTTTCAAGAACTTGAAAACCAAGACAGTGAGTGATGGCTCTCTACGGATTTCCGTTAATCTTGTTTCCTTTAAATCACATGCAGCTCTCTCGTTCAGCACACGCGTTCGATGCAGGAAGAGGGTGGGGTTTATATACGGTAATCTGGACTAACCTGGGCTAACCTGCAAGGCCAACGGTTCAGTAGTCGGTTGTGTCTTTCTAACATGTACTGCACTGCCCTCCACCAACATACAGACTTGGATGCCATCCTAATGGACTGGACAGGCGGACCATAACAACCATAATTTTGGAAAACCGGATATGTCAACATAACTGCCGATCTCCAAGTTTCATTGATCCCGTCGATAAGGGCAACCAACGTGTTAGATAGCCGGTAAGTGAACTTAGCTCGTTTTTCTTCGTTGGCGCATGTAACGTCACATAGTTGAGGCAGATGCGAGTAATTCTACATTTTCATTGGTCCGCTCGGCAAGCGTAATGCATCGTGCCTGAGAATTTCTCTACAAAATTGGTGGGGAAAATATGTAAAGATAAGTCTTCTCTGCGAGTGCCCATGGTTTGAATCGCCACTTCCACTGTTTTTTTCTTCGTGTCGTCGTTTTGACACTCTGACTTTCCCCCCTCAATGTTTACCATGCAGCGACCAGAGTGCCACACGCTCCATGACTAAAGCTGTGGGCCAAATGGGTTTCGCCAGTCTTTGAAGGATGTCCAACCGTATACAGTGGGGGGCA